TGATTGATACACTGCATGAGAATCTACTCTCAGTAGTGACTAGTAATATTCAACATGGATTTTAGCACTCTCATGCCACCAGTAAGTCTTGTTGCTGTCATTAGGAGAAAGAGTTAAGAAATACAAACATTCAGTAGAGGCTCATACAACTGCAAAAATCAATAATATTTTCAAAATGTTGTGATGATTAATTTAGTGGCATAAAGAAGAAATCTAGATCATCCCTCCTTCAGAAGCATGCCTGTCATCTTTCTGACCACAACAGTAGGTCAAACTACTTCCAACGCTTCGATGATGTGCTGGATATTAGTTGTCTGGGGGCGGACTTTTAGTTGAAGTGTTGCTGGTCCATCTATCCTATTAATTTTTGTTGGATGAGATCTGAGTCTTCCACCCCCTTCTCTCTCAGAAATCATTTCTAAATTTATCTTCAGATGAGGAAAGAGAGATCAGTTTTCAAGTCTGAGATGGTAAGCTGTGACTAATCTAATATGCATTGTTATTTTGATAAATGTACACTCAGTAATTGATAAAATATCAGTTAAACCCGAGTTTATGATCTCGGCAGAGCAAGAGATAAATGGCGCAGCCTTTACTGCTGTGATGCAGATGGAGTTAAAGAATATAAAACTTACATGGTATGTCGTGTGAGTGCTTTGTACCAGCTCAGACAGAAAAACACTTAGGTAACTGTGATGGCGAGCAGATGATTACAACATAAGTTAAACAACAGGGAAATATTGGTCATGATAATGGTGGACAGAGTCAATAAAAAATACTCTCAAACCAGTTAAAAAGCTTCGGTGTTTAAAACAATTTTGAAGAAAAGTAAATATGATGATATCCATATGAAACAAGTGACTTTTCAATGAGATTCTCAATGGCAAAGCACCAGATACTCTTAGAACTTTAAATAATTAATTAGCAATATATGGTACTTTGCTCTCAATAAAGTAAGCAGTGGCAATATATTATGAAACCAATTAAATGGTATTAGAGTTCTGGGAACTGAATAAAATAAATAGGTTTAGGCTCTGTCATCAATGGAGTTTCTCTGCTTCAGCAGTGAAAGGGATGTGAGCACTCACCACATCTATAGAAAGTGAAAAACTTGAGTAGGAGGAAAGCTGTATGACTTTTAAGGAAAAAACAAAAACAAACAAAAAAAAAAACTCCTAAACCCGGGGTGCATCTATTTGACTGGAGGGTTTCTGTGCACTGTAATGGATCCTGTACAATGAATTCTGCACTGTTCAGCCTACATTTGTATCACAGTTGTTTATGCCTCTTGTTGCTCATTGGTTCCCCTTCCAGCTATGTATAGGGGAAAGTTCATGTATGTTTTTACATATATCTTCAAGTGCAGCATTCTTAGAAGAACATTTGCTGATTTTGATCAAGGGAAGTCATCAGTCTCCTTCTCCTGGTCATGGTGCCAAAGGAATTGGAAATAAACCTGAAAGTGAGGTGTCCCTATTAGACAAGGAGACCAGCAAGGCTCCTTGGGGTTACTTGTGTTATATGTGGTAGTTAACATGAGGCTGTAGAATAAACAGGTCCCAGGTTTGGCTTGTCACGGACTTGTTTCTTCTAGAGAAGGGTTCATTTAGATTTGGTCTGTAGCTAGGCAGGTGGGTTCTTGCTGAGGGGGAAAAGTTGAGGCATGGCTTTGAGGAACATCTCATGGAGGAAGATGTATGCTCTTGGGGGGCAGACATGCAGATAGCCTATAGGGTAGTGGGCTTAACATGATGGTCTGAACCTTCCTCTGGAGGGTTTAAAGCAGGCTTTGACTTAGGTACTGGTCTGGAAAGGCAAAAGGCAGCCCCAAACCAGGATGAGCTCTAGGGCTGGTGCAGGGATGCTTTCTTTAACCTGGCCTCAAAGCACTAGGCCTGCATGAAGGTCCACCTCACACAGGCTCTGAAGCCACTCAGGCTCGAAAACATGTCTGTAAACAAGGGCTGGTGACAGCCATGCGTGTCCCCCCTCCACCGGGGAGGCGGCGGGAGAGGTGCTCGTTCCTGTCAGCCCCCCCTGAAAGACTTCAGCTGGATCTAACCGGCCAGGTGAGCCAAGCCCACCACACCGGCTCCTCTCTTTCTTTCCCCCCTCCACCATCTCTCTCTCTCCTCCTCCCAAGGCAGGGAAGGGAAGGAAGGAGGCGAGCGGTGCCTGCGCGGGGCCCGGCGCCGCGCCGTGCCAGGGGCACTCCCCTCAGCCACCATCGCGGGCGGGCAGCCCGCCGCGGGGTCCCGCTCCCCCCTCCTCCGCCCGATGGCGGGGGGCGGAGGGGAGGAGGGGAAAGCGGAGCTGCCGCGGGCCCGGCTCCGGGATTCGCTCGCCCGGGGCGGCTCGGAGCGGCGGCGGAGGGGTTAAGCTCCCCGCTGCCGGTGGGCTCGGTGCCGGCGGGGAGGGGGTTACAGCGCCTTGGCGGCGGCGGCGGCGGCTGCCACAAGGCTCCGCGCCGCGCTCCGCGCCGGAGCCGTTCCAGCGGGAAGATGGCGACGGAGGGAGCGGGCGGCGAGCCGGGCTCCGGCGCCCGGGACGACTCGGCGGCTGCGGCGGCGGTAACGGGCTCGGCTGGGCCGCGGGGGGTCGGAGCCGGCTCGGCCGGCCGCGGGGGTGCTGCGGGGATGGGACGAAGCGGCGCTCCGAGACCTGCCTCCCCCGCTCCGTCCCTCCGCCCTCCTTCTCCCCCCCGGGGCGGGACGGGGCTCGGCTGCGGCTCCCCGAGCCCCGTCCCGCCCCGGGGGGGAGAAGGAGGGAGAGGCGCTGGGGGTCCCCCCGTCCTCCTTTCCGCACCCGGGGGGCTGCCCCCATTGTTCCTTCCCCGCTGCCTCAGAGCGGGGCTGGGCAGGGCAGGGCTGGGGGGGTGCCCCCGGGGTCTCCCCGCTGCCTTCCCGCAGCTCCCCGGGCGGGCTGAGGCGGTGACAGCGCCCGGGGCCGGGAGAAACATCGATCCTACAGCCATCCCTGTGCTGCCGAGCCCGCAGGAGCCCTTTTTTCCCCTTCCCTTCCCTTCTAGCCAAGCCCCCCACCCCCCCCAAGGCAGCCGAGCAGAGCCCCCCGGGGGTGCGGGGCGCCCCGGGGCCAGCCGCTGGCGGGGCTTGGGGGCAGCCCCCTCCGCTCCTTTCATCTCAGGGCTGAGCCCCACGCGGTGCCCCCGGCTCCCTGGGGCTCCTCGCCCCCCTGCGGGACCCCCCTTGGGCGGTGGGGGGGCTGCCGGGGGGCTCAGGTCCTGCAGAGCCCGAGGAGAGCCCCCGGCAGCGCCCAGCCCTGCAACCAAGCGCCGGGTCGGGGGCAACGCAACCGAGGAGCTGCGAGGTTTCGGCTGGGTCTGTGCTGAAAGCAACGGCCCCAGAAGGCAGGATGGCGCTAGTTTTGGGGGAATTGGGGGTGCCACTACTGTGTGTGTGCGTGTAAACCTCTATATACCTCTATATACCTCTATATACCTCTATATAGATACATATTCTTTTATTCCAAGTAGGCACAAATCCCTATCTGAAGCCATGTTCCAGCTCTCCAGTTAATTTTCCTTGCACGTTTTAACTCCTGCACTGTCACAGACATTGAGTTTTACTTTTAAAAAAATAATAAAAAGGTAAACCTTATGAAGTGAATCACACCACTGTCTTTTAAAGCAGTGACATGGCTGTGATATAAAAGAATACTGAGGTGATGATTCATAAAAGCAAAATATTAAATACTTTCAAGTCCTAGTTCTGAGTAAAAATTATACTAAATTGTTTAGTGTTTCATGTTCTTACTACCTTCAGTTTCGGCTTTAAGAATTCAAAAAGTACCTTAATCAAGTGCTGCTTTAATATTGTCCTGTTAGGCAATGCAGTACGAGCTGCTCATGCAATTTGATGTTCTCATTGTCATGAAGGAGTGACAGCTCTACACTGCACGCTTTTTCCCCTCACTATTATAAATGTTAAATTGTCGATTTCATTTTATTCTTGGTATAGGAAAGTAGAAAGAACACTTATGGGCAATGAAAAGATTTCTAAAAAATATTTATACGGTACTCCAATGTTCCTTTTGAAGGGTTACTGTGAGTAGCTTATTTTATGTATTCAAATTCAAGATATAAAATTATGAATTGAGTCATCTTGCTTACATTTAGGATGGCAATAAACATCTAGGTGGCTGTCTTGTAAGTCATGCTAAACTCAAGTTATAGTGAAATACTGTTTTCTGTACAGTTTTAGATTTAATTCTCAGAATCCTGATTGCACAAATGGTGCAATGGAAAACTGTAGGAACAGCATTGTAATGGTAATGCACTAATGTGCAATTTTTATGGTATAATCAGGAAATGGATACCACAGGACAATACAGTAGGGTATCTTCATGCTGTAACTCTTGTATCTTGGTACAATATCAGGTACATCAGTACATCATCAGTAACATAATTGGGGAGGGAAAGAAAGACTTGTTTTTTACTGTTTTTAGAAGCACTGTAGAAAAGGACAGAATGTGGTACCCAGGTTTCTTCCTTTTTTTTTTTTTTTTTCCCCAACCCACCCAAGAGAAAGTGATAGAAAAGCCTAGGCTGTTCTATAGTGTTACATTTAGGAGTAAAGCTGAGAGCCTTGTCCTTCCAAGTTCCCTTGGATGGAGTATAGCTCTTGGTAACCAAGTGGGCTTTCCTTCTTGCAAAATATTGGTATTTTTATTGTGGTAAGGATGACAAAAATGGAATGGAAGTGGTTTGGTCCTTTTTCATACCTGTACAGCTTGATTGTCTGAGCCAGTGAAATTGTGGTGGTACAATTAGGACTAAAATTCAGGAGAAAATATGCATGTGTTTTAAAACATCTTTGAATAACTTCCATCTGCATAATATCTACCAGTAATAATTATATAATAGCAAGAAATAATTCAATTTGACCGTCTGTTTGTTGAAACATTGAACACCAGCCTGCTGTGCATGGAGGGCTGTCTTGTCACACATTGTTTCAGTGTAGGTTTAACAAATGGCATGAAAATCCTCTTATAAATCAGAGAGTTTGTTAAAGTTATTCAGTAAAATCTCTGGTGTTGATTTTGCTTGACTAGTGATCAAAAGCACAAATGGTATTTTTCTCCAGAAGGCAGTAGTGTCTGCTGGCTGCAAGGCTGTACGTATGGAGCATATTGGTGGAATGATGCCTTGACTTGTCTAAAATGAGTAGGGACCTTTCTGCTGCCTTCATCAGTCAAAAGTTCATTGGGAATGATGTTTACATACTTGAAAAGATCACTCGGGGTCAGTCTGGGTTGCTGTGGATCAAGTAACAGCATAAGAAGTTACACTACAGAAAAAAAATTGTCAATATTAAGTGGATTAAAAATTGATGACTAAACGAAATAAATGGAGAGAAGTTCCATGACGCTTTATGGTGACATGTTGGGAAGATTTTTTACTTAGCTTGGTGTATTCAATATCTATCGATCCACAGGAATGTTTGTAGTAGAATTGCCATTGTGGGCAGTGTAGTGACATGCTAAACGATGGTTTGATCAGGTCGGCTCTACTGGCTGATGTAGATAAGTTGGAAAGATTCTTAGCTGAAAAATACTGCATGTAGCAGAAAATGAGACCATAACCCTTGAAAAGCAAAGACTGGGTCTCTTAGTAGGGACTGCACCCTGGAAAATTATTGCTTCCAAAAGGATTTTTGTTTGACTACCATGATCCTCATCAGAATACACTGCAATGGCAATGTTCAGAGAAGTTATTTTCCTCTGGTCAGAGGCACAGTGCTATTGGGGTGTTCCAACAGGTAGGTGAGATGCAGACACTGCACAATCTGTTTCAGTTCTGCTACTGCTCTGCTTCTCCCCTGTAACGAATGGCTGGTAACAATCCACCCATCGTGCAGTGGTAAAGTTCAAGCCTTGCTCCACAACCTCTCTTCTGCCCTGCCTCCCGCTAGCCCAGCCTACATCCTGCCTTTTCTGTGCTGCTCAGCTCCACGACTGGCAGCACGGCCTCTCCTCCCTTGCTGCCAAGGGTCTGGGGGAATGGAAAAAGAAAGCCAGTGAATGTCGTCCACTTTGTAAATGCTCTTTTCTTTTCCAACCATGGTCCTGTCACTCTGTCCCGTGCTAAAGGAGAAGTGCAGAGGGGCAGTGCTGTGAGCCAGGTAGTGGTGTGGAGGGGCAGATCTGTGGGATTCAATACATCCTGCTCTTTTCCCAGCTGCTTGGATGTTTGTGCAAGTGTAGGGAAGGGAGGCGTTGCTTTGGTCTCAGAGGTGGTATAGCAAGACAGGATGAGATGGAAATGAAGAAGCAGAAAAAGTAAAGAAAGAGCTCAGTTTCGGAAGACAACAGCTGGAGGTCTGCCCCTTCACCCACTCCTCCCCAGAAAGGGAGCAGTAGATTTACAAGCCCGGTGTGATCCTTGAATATGTAAACAGGAAGGAGTCAAGTAGGCTTAGGGAAGAGGCGCTGCCTGTGGGGTGTGGGAATTCAAGGTTTCCTGGGCATTGGGGTTTGGTTCCAACATAGCACGAGGAAAGGTGTGAAATTCTGAAAGATTTAAAAATAGCTCTAAAGATAACTTGATCCAGGTATGGGTTCACATTCTTCAAATCATACTATTTGCCTTAGAAATGGCCTTCAAGTAAGTGACTTTCTGAACAGGAATTTCCTGTTAAATTTAGTAGCAGTTTAAGCGTGGTCATCGAAGGAAAGGTGTAAGCCTAGGTTCAACAAAAAATACTTTGGCATCTCTGATTTCAGTGCAAGTTAGGTATCTAAGTACCTTTGTGGCTGTTTGTAGATTGCAAACATGTTTTAACAGCTATGAGAATATCTGGGTATGTGTAAAGGTCGGTGTATTACTCATTTTGGAGGGGCTGTGGGCTGTGTGTTTTTTTTTCCTGTTGTTTGTTTTATTTGTTTCTAAAATACAGTTCTCAGTTCTGAGGTATATTTATGGTTAATGCTGGAGCTGTTAAAAGTTTTGCAGTTAGCCCAAGCCAAAAAAAATCCACAGCAGCTAAACAAAACCTCCCCCATGCCTTTTAGAGAAAGCCTTTGAAAAAAAACAGAAAGCAAGGGAGCTGTGCTTGGAGAAGAGAGGAGCAGTGTAAGCTGGTAACGTTGTGTGCTGAACAGTCCAATAAGTCAATGAACTAATGGATGGGCATAATTAACTGCACTTAAAGTACCCTCAAGGTCCCTGAGGTGTGGCTGTATGACATTTTGTCTAAGTCCTGGATGTTAAAGTTGGGAGATATTCTTTTCAGGAAGAAACTCAGTCTGAGCTTAGGAGCAAGTTCCACAGTATTGCTTTTCCTTGGAAGATATTTCTCTGCCTTCATATTATTATTTTTGTTGTTGTTGTTGCCAAGATCATTCCTATAGGTCTCATCTTCTTCAGTTCATTTTGGATGGGATGGGAAGCGGACGTGTATTCTTGTATCAGATAATTTCTGGAGAAGCACGGCGTCACTCTTCTTCTGGTTTCAGCCTGAAGAACAGGCCTTCCACAGCCAAATCAATAAACCGTGCTTTCTCTTAAGTATCTGTGAATGCTATATGGATTTTGTAACTACTTCTTTCACATTTTCTGTTTGCAGAGTTTTCTTTGCTACAAGAAGGTTAGGATTAATTTGAGCACATCCCCATGTTTGCATTGAGCTAGGTCTTGAAACTTCCATTTATAGTTGGTGGAAAGACTTAAGTGGTTACAAGGAATGATCTGTTTTGAAAACATATTTGTGAAATTTCTCTGGCTTTAAGTGAAGTGGCTTGACAGAGGACTCTTGGAGGTATTGGTGGGATTCAAGGCACTTAAATTTAAATGTTTACATGTATGCACAGTGTTAATTATCCTATTACAGCGAGTGGAAATCCAACCGATACTGCCAGTGGAGCCTTGAGCAAATAGTTCTGGTGGCTGGTAAGCTGAACAGCTTTCTTGGCTGTTTTGACTGGGCTGATCAGTTTTCTCTTGGCAATAACGGGAAATTCATCACCTCACTCACATACTGACACCTGCCTTTTGGTGTCTCAATCCTGTCTTGAGGGCTCCCTTTAGTGATCCACGTGCATGCTCTGGGTATCCCGGCTGACCTTCTAGCAGCCCAAACAGTGTGGGTGATTCTCCTAAGTTCTGTATCATATCTACCTGCCCCCCCCCAATCTCTTTAATCCCCAAGATACCTAAAATTGCTCCAGATACTTGCATGTAAGCAACAAAGTAGAATCAGTTGAAACGTGCTTATACTTGGTCAGGTGAGTTCTACCTGGTGGACATTAGGGTTGGTGGCAAATTTGTCGTCAAATGTGTGAATCAGGGTTGTGTTTCCCTGGTACATGTATTTCCTGGGTCTGACAGCTGTGAGGCCATCATGATATTAAAAGTTTGCTTTGTACGACCTAATAAGTAATAGCAAATTCTTTTATTTTTAGAAGCTCATCTTGGAAGTCTGCTTTGTGAATCCTCAGGAGGATTCTTGTGTGTATTTAATGGAACACCACATAAAATATGTAACAAATGTGGATATGTACCTTTTCCCTCCCTTCTGAAAGGACTCCCGATGTGTTTTCCTATACACCATTTTTTCTTTTTGTCTTTTTAACTTCTCTTCTCCTCCTGTCTTTCCACCTCAGCCCATAATCATGCTTCACAGTTTTCTTTCCCAAGTCCTGGGCTGTTACCCAGCTCCATCTCTAAAAAGGCCACCCAGCTGCTTTCTGAGCAGGAAGGAGATTGTTTTCTCTGGTCATCCGTGATTAATCCACAGCTACTGTGCTTTTTGCCCTGTTTCTGCTTAGGGATGGTACAAAGCTGTGGCTTTCCTGCTGCCCCTATTCACACTTGTGCTGAAGGCACAAGGAACGATGCCTTTAGCTCCTGAAATTGCCAGCAGCATCAGCAGGGCTAGGTCAGTAAAACCAAGCTATTGGTACTGCTCATCCCTCACAAGACATGTTGTTGTTCCTGGGGCACGGTGGGGATAAATCTAACGCTAAAGACTTTTTTTTTTTTAATCTCTGGTTTAAATAGCTCTGTATGTGGGAAGGAGTCCCTTCTGTTCCCATGTCTCTTGGTGCTCCTCCCATTCCATCCCTTCCTGAGTTTTCCTCTCTGTCCTCTCTGGTTCAATCCCAGTGTCCTAACTCAGCCTTCTCTTGTTTGGAAGTTGTGCTTTTGTCATCTTGGCTCATGGTAGAGCTTAGTTTATCTTTAGATGGTGCAGGTTAGCATTTTGCCTATACTCTTTTGTGATGAAGACGCAGGTATTTGAGTTTTAGCTAATTAGCAGTTTTCTCTGTTGTCAGTGTGCTTGCTGCCAGGCAACACAAACCCCTTACAAAGTTGGTCTGAAAAAATAACACGATGCTTTAGAGACATAGAGAACTGAAAAGGACACAGTGTTTTTCAGATATTTTATCCTTATAAATCAAATAAACCAGACATTTTAAAATCTGGAAGAAGGAAAGAAAAAAAAAAAAAAGGCTATGTTCTGGTTGTGTATGCCAAATTTCACCCTGGGGCACCATATTCATGTATCTCTGTTGTAAAACAAATATAGTGGATGGCTTGGTTATATAGTTGTTAAATTGTTGGTTAAATTGTTACAGCTTGGCACTCTACCAGAGGTATTGTAGCTAAACCCCAGATGACACATAAGCCATGAGCTACTAATGGAGTCTTTCTTTTCTGGAGATGTAAGTGTTACTGCTCCGCTGGAAGATGTTAGGAAGATTACTTTCCTAGACCTAAACAACCGTTTTCTCTGTAATACGAGCCAAAAATGCTCCATCTGGATGAGAACTTCACGCAAGCCTGCCATGACTGACATCTTGGTCCCCAGAAGATGGCAGGGAAGTGTTTAAGAGGAAGATTAGTTTTATTTCATCATATGCCAAAACTACGCTTAATAAATCAGAAAGCATCAAAGAGAAGTAGCTGATGGCAGACTCACAGCAAAGGTGGCGGTTCTTCCCACAAGGTATGCAATGAGCTGCAGGAAGGCTGTGGGTTCTTAAATTACATAAAGATTCAGAAAGCAAAGGGGCAGATTCACAAAGTCTATGTCCTTCAAGGGACTGCTATGTGCAAAATAATTTATGGCTCAGAAGGTGAAAACTGCTGGAGGCTGGAAGAGTATTTCTGGGAAGTATCATTATGTGCTTGTCCTGCTCTGGTGCTGATTTCAAGTCATTCACTATTGGCTGCTTCTGGAGACAGGGCACCAGGCTAAGTGGGCTTTTAGTCTGATGTATGTTCTGTTCATGTATGAAGTAGCTTTGCTAGTTCATATTTTTCAAGTCAAGTGTTCAAAACAAAAAAATATATATATAAAAATTGAGCTGTGTATGTAGTTGGTATGTTTTTCTTTTAAAATTCCTTGTGTCTATTTACATCTAACTTTAAATTACTGGAGAGCACGTTTGATTGGGGCAGCCCTGGATAGACTGAGGGACGAGAGGCTGGAGAACACCCCCATGGAAAGGGATCTGGAGGTTCTGGTTGCCAGCAGGCTGAGCGTGAGCCAGCAGTGTGCCCCTGCAGCCAGGAGAGCCAAATGTACCCAGGGGTGCATCAGGCCCAGCGCTGCCAGCTGGGCGAGGGAAGGGATTGTCCTGCTCTGCTCTGCGTTGTGTGGCCTCACCTCCAGCACTGTGTGCAGTTCTGGGCACCTCAATATAAGAAGGACATAAAACTATCAGTGTCCAAAGGAGGACTACCAAGATGGTGAAGGGCCTAGAGGGGAAGACATATGAGGATCGGCTGAGGTCCCTGGGTTTGTTCAGCCCAGAGCAGAGCAGACTGAGGGGAGGCCTCATGGCGGCCTGCAGCTCCCTCACGAGGGGAGCAGGGAGCGGAGGGCAGGCGCTGAGCTCTGCTCTCTGGGGACAGCGACAGGACCCGAGGGAACGGCATGGAGCTGGGACAGGGGAGGGTCAGCCTGGGTGTGAGGGAAAGGTTCTGCACCCAGAGGGTGGTCGGGCACTGGGACAGGCTCCCCAGGGCAGTGGGCACAGCACTGAGCTGCTGGAGTTGAAGAAGCGTTTGTACAGTGCTCTTAGACATAGCGTCTGATTTTTGGGTGGTCCTGTGAGGAGCTGGGAGTTGGACTCGGTGATCATTGTGGATTCCTTCCAACTCAGGATATTCTATGGTTCTACGATTTTATGAATTGCTCATTGTTGCTGTCTTTTCATATGCTCTAGTTTGTGGTATGTACTTGAGTCAGATTTACTTTAATTGCTTGATCAGATGGTTAGTTAAAAAAGCTCATCTTGCACCACATATGTTGAATTATGCCTCTGGTTTGTAAAGAATGTAAAGGTCTTTTTGTTTATGTCTTGTGGAAGACTGTAGGAATTAAATGTTTCACCTGTGATGTACACTCGGTCTTCTGACAAAGGGCTGCCCTGGGCTTTGCCTCCCGACAAGCTGAATTTACTGACTCAGAGAAAAGAGTAGGGTCACACTTCTTGCACTGTGCTTTTGCAGATGCCCCTCTTAACTTTGGCAGTGCCTATCAGAAGTCTTGGGTGCCTTTTATTTTTTATTTTTCGTCAAAGGAGGCAGGTATATTTTTGAAGGCAAAACCTTCAAAATGAAATGGAGACTTAAGGCTTTTTTACATTGCTTTCTGTGTGGTTTGGAAAAAGTACTTGATGTCTCTGCATCAGCTTTCCATCTGAAAAATGGAGACAGTTTTTCATGTATTAAAGGAAGTTTATATGAATGGATCCATTGTTGTCCTTCAGCCTTTAGATATTATGAAGGAGTTCATACAAAAAGGAGGGTGAATAAGTGGGTCTTGCTATCTGGCAATTAAATTCAGTGGTTAGAAGTGCTGAGAGTGAAATCTGCTGCAGCCTGTGAGGCAAAATCTAAAATTTCATGAGGAGCTGCATGCTTTCGGTAACTGCACGTCATGCACATCCATTGATTGCTGAGCCATGTGGAGCACTGTGAGAGGCTGCTGCAGCATATGTTGGGAAAAAGCCTTCAGAGAAAGAAACTGGTTGTTTTTCTTAAACATGGGCATGAAGGCTCTTTTGTATCAGCAGAATAGCTGAGCCAGGCAGCAAAATTGGAGGATAATTGTTGGTGGAGGATAATTGTTGGTCATTGTTGGTCAGTCTAGAAATATCAGTTGGAGTGGATGGTCCTGTCCCAGAAACAGTTACATTTGGTAGAAGTCATTGGTGTTCTTTTGATCCACGTGGTTCAAGTAGATGAAGAAGCTCAGCCCACTGTGCATCGAATATGAACAGCTAATGTTCTGGCACACAGTTCTCACTAGCCATTTGTGCACCTGCCTTTTAACTGCAAAGTAAAAAGGGAACCCGGAGTAAATCTAATATAGTTAGAGCTTTGGGGTGCTTTTGATCCATCCCTCTGACCAGAGGGAAGGACAATTGTTTGCTCTCCTCTTGCCTTGAGAAAGAGGAAATGGCACCTTAATTTTTATTGGATTTTCCTGAGAGGAAGAGTAGCTCCTGGGTAGCTGAACTCTTACACTTGACTTCTTCCTCCAGGGAGAGCAGACTCTATACCCAGGTAGGCAGTTAGCTAATTTGGCAGCTCATTACATCAGACTGAAGATAGATGAGTGTCCTCATCTCAGGGCTTCACTAGAAGGCACATCTGTGTCATAGCAAGGACTGTAGTATTTCCCTTGCGGTGAACAGCGTATGGGAGATCACAATGGCAGCTGAATTTGGCACATGGACTAGGTGCTGTTTTTTCTCCCTTAAAATGATCCCTTTCTAATTTCACTGTTTCCTTCTGTTAGCATTGTGGAGTTTGGTGAACAAAACCAATTCGTATTCCTCTTACCCCCTACCTTTGTGATTTGTATCAATAGCATCCCTACACACAACCTCGGAGAGAAGATTTTCACCCTTGTGGTCTTTCCTCATACAGCAGTTACTCCTTCTCTCTTAATCCTTTTAGCTGTCCAATTCCTTTGCTGTGGGTGAGAACTTCATGCAGCAAAGACCCCCTCTACCCGCCTGTCTGTTGACAGCCTTTCAGGACCCTAGCAGTATGAGGCAGGAACTTCATTTTACAGGAGCCATTCCAAGCAGACAGCGTTTATGCATGTGCTCAGTGATCTTATAAACTCATTCTACTGCCTTTTCAGAAGTGGACTTATGTGAAGCTCGATAACTGCAGAGTGAGGAGATAATTGTTGCTATGAACTGTTGTTTGTCAGTGCCTCTTAAACCTGAACTATAACCTCCAGTCAAAAAAATGGGACTGTGAATTAAGTGTACAGATAAGATTTCACATCTTTTCTCAAGCTGTGCTTCGAAACTTCACATTTAGTCCTGTAATTTGCTTCTGTCATCATCTATTGGCTTCGTTCTTGATGTGTTATTTCAGGTCTGCTGAAACGTTTCTGTCACTGTAAGGCTGTATATAGGAACAAAGTTATTATTTTTTTTTTTTATCATTTCACCCTTATCAATTATGAGACATTCAAGGGTCAGTTTCTTGCAACAGTATAGGATTTGAAGCAATGTCATGCTGGTGGGCTTTTAAGTTCTTCACCTTAAATGAAAAGAAACAGACTATTTATTTTGACGTTGTGTGCTACAAAGAAAGTCATTTCAACTTTGACAGTCACGGATGTTTGAGTAACCCATAATTAGGATGCTGATATGTCTTCATTTCATATCTACAGTAACCATTGCAAACATTTAATTAGTGTGTTCATTAGTGTTTTGTTTCTTACAGAAAAGAGAGTTTGATGTGGATAACTTGAGCAAGCCAGAATTGCGGATGCTTTTGAGTATAATGGAAGGAGAACTAGAAGCACGAGACCTTGTAATTGAAGCTTTGCGGGTAAGTTACAGGGTTGTTGTGGTTTATATATATATATATATATATTACATTCTCTTTTGCCAATTCTTTTGTACTGAGCATAGAATGTTATTAGTGGAAGAATAAATTATGATTTTTAAGCTTTAGGTTGACTAAATCTCAGTAATCACAAAACATGTTCTTGTTTAATTGTTGTCATTCAGTAATTCTGTGTAATTTTGGTGTAAAATACCTATAATGTTTCAGGGAAAGAAGTGCAAAAATGTGAAAATGACTTCCTCTTTAAATTCTTTTATGCTGCAGAATCTGTTATTTGTGAAATGAAGGAATGACTTCAAAGGAGAATTCAGTCCATTCTTCATTTGTTCTGATATTCTATATATTTGTACATCCAATCATTCTGTGAGACACGAGGAGCAACAAAGTTGGATGGTTATATCCAATTAAGAAAAAGTTTTTTTTTTTTTTTTAACAAAAAAAAAAGGGGGGGGGGGAAACTACAGGATATGTATTCTAGCAGCACTCCCAGGTGCTTGATTAGGTGTTGTTTTTTTTTTTTTTTTTTTTTTTTTTCCTGTGCTAGGCACATGTGAAGGTTGGTTTCTGCTTCAAGAGGTTGCAGTCTGAAAGTCAACTTAGAAAGCTGACTGGAAATGTACAAACAAAACTGTATTTTAATAATAAGATGATACATTTTTATGATGGTAACAAATTTAAATTTTATTCCATTACCAATCAATTTAAACAGAGCTGCCAAACAGTGCAGGTTTAGGGGGAAAACAGTCTTACATGGATTGAAAATATTTATAGCTTCACAGTTGGATAGAGGCAAATTATGCCCTTTAAGGTCTCTTAAAGCAAAAACTGAATGCAATAAAATATATTAATACTAAATATTAGTAGTAGATGCAATGACAATCAGGTAATGTGGGAACGTTTTCCATTTGTAATGTCACAGTAACAATTGCAAATGCATTTTTATTCAATTTTAATTTGTTTTGTGGTGGCTTCACATCGTGATGCAAATGGAACTTTAAAGTAGCTGTCACTGATGCACCTGCATTAATAACTAAAGACTTTATAAGTATAAAACTCTATTATAAGATACAATTTTCATTTTGTAGTGACAATAAGGTGCTGGAAGCAATATGATTCTGGGGGATTACTGCACTTTGAATTCATTTGGTGTTGGGCCTTCATGTGTGCGCATACATTGAAATGTATTGCCTTTTCATCAAGCTGCTTTACAATTTCACATCTCAGTTGTCCAGACGAGAACCTTTTCCTTTCTGTGACTGCCAGTTAAGATTTTGTAAAAGGGGGAACGTGTACACCTCCATTCAGAATCTGTATGACTATTTTTTTTTCTTTGGTTGGTTAGTTTTGGCTGTAGAAATGCAAATATTCAGACAGTTTTCTTTGCTATATGTTCATGGCCAAGCTACTATACTGCACACCAAATAATGGATGCATTGAGATTCAATAAAAAAAAAATAAATTAATGAGAGTAAATGCTAAAAATGTGGAGCGCAGTCTCAGGAGAGAAAGAGTCTACATTGGATTCCCATGTACCTGCTGAAATAGGCAGTATATTAGTCTGTACATAGTAGTTTTTGATAACTAATACAGATCGATATAAAAATTGTTCCATTATACATATGGTATAGAAATGTTGAAAAATTGTGGTGTTTTTTTTTTTTTTCATTTATTCTCCTGCATCTCAATTTCCACTTCCTGTGTGTTGTAGTAAAATCCTCTAAACAAAATCTAGATGGAACTCAATCTTCCAGGCGATGTGCCTGGTTAGCTGTACCAGTACTGGGAAACTTGGAAGTTGTACCTGCTGAAGATCTGTAGCCTGATATCTTGGAATATGATACTTAGGGATCTTCTGGCTTCTTGAGAATCAGTTACCACAAGTCAGCAATACTAGCGGATACAGTCTCTTAGGAACCGTAAAAAAAAAAAAAAAAAAAAAAAAAGCTGCTAGATAGTCAGATATAGTTCCCTTTTTTTTTCTTTTCATATTTTTAAAAAAGAATAACAAGATAATTCCATTGGAATTGCGTTGAATTTAGTACTGACTTTGATTCATTTTTACAAATGGACATACATTGTGTATCTTTAAAGCCATAAGGAAAGGCAAATGACTTTTTTTCCATAATTTCAGAAGCTGCTAAAGCTCTATTTTAAAATGAGTAAAGTTTGGGATGGGTATTGTTTTTGTGTGTGTGTTTTGTTGTTTGTTTTCTTTTTGATTTTATTCTAGTAGTAATGCAAGGCTTTTGTTTGAAAGCCTAATTTCTTGGATAGGTTGGAACTGGTTAATTTCAAGCCATGTACTAAACAGTGTAAATTGGCTTTTACTCTTAAGTGATTTTCCTGTCAGATTTTAGTTTCTGTGATGTATACATTTATTAAGCTATTTTAAATGTTATTGAGCTTTTTGTAAGACTAAAGAACCGGGTCTCTTAATCTCCTCTTAGAAAGTAACTTCATCTTTGTGGTTGTTGTATCAGATTTCTTCTCTATAATCACTAAAGTTTAAATACATCATTCTTAAATGTATGTGCCTTACCCATACTCATTTTGCAGCGTTTCACTGAGCATTTGTAAAATTTGTGCAATCAATAGTGTTTATACATCTATTGGAAATGTCTCTCCCGGAAGATTCAGACACTGGAAAGAACTGGTCTTGGCTGATCACAAAAGAACTGGGTAACACTGAATATGGTTAAAGACTGACTCATGTGGTACTACTCGTAACCTGCCTCCAGCATTAAGATGAATCCATTCTAACAGGACCTGTTTGAGGCATCTGTTAGTCTGTCCTTTCCACATTGTATGTGTTCTTACACCAACCTCTTGTTTCCTGCTTCACTAATTTTGTGTGAAGCCATGCCATGTGCTTTACTGAAAATCTGAGACAGATCTAATGTACCTTCTCTGTCTACAAGGCCAAGTATGTTTAAAATAAATAAGTTTCAAAAAACACCTTCAACATCCATAGGTGGAATTTCTTGTCAAGATGACTCTTACAGGAGCACAGTGCCAAATGGTTTCTCATTTCATCACAATCAACACCTTATTCACTGTATTCCCTGGTGGAATGGAACAGAGATTTCTTTCAGAGTTAAGGGGTAAGAACTAAGGAGCAGAAAAAATCTTATTGGATAAGATATGGATTGGAATTTGTGCCTTGCTGTTTTTTCTAATTGACATGTTTATAGTTTATACATGTTAGGGAGCTATCGTTTAAACCACTTAAAAACTTGCTTTAAATGATTTTTTTTTTGGCTTATTTTGGAAATGTCCTTTTCATGATTGCAGTTGAACTCATATTATGTTGTGAAGAGTAATTTGCTTGTGTGGGTTCTGCTGGATTAAGCAGAAAACATTACTGACTTTGTTTTGTTGTGGACTGAGCCACAGTCATATATGGAGCAAACTCTACTGAATAGCTCATAGAAATCTAAAATAATCATTTTTTTGAACGTGTTCTGTTTTCGTAACTTCTGATTTTTCTTGGTTTCTCTTGTTTAAACAAAAATAGCAATAAAATTATGCATGGATTGAGGAGTCAGTGAAATAAATTAAACTCCAAAATGATACCCTGTATCCATTAGTTCTGCTGTAATATTGCTTTCTGAAAGGGAGGAAGTGCCCTTAGATTTCAGGATTGTGCTGTCTTCAAATGCTTCTTCTTTGACTGTTCATTTACACATGTTCATTATATCACAAAAGAAATTCATATTTTATGAGCTTCAGTTTAATTTACTATTGGTATTAGTAGGCATCAGAGAAGATGGCTACTTATTCCTCATTTCACACTTATGTTTAGGATGTTGCATAGACTTTTTTTTTCCAGAAATTTTCAAAAAGGTCTAATCAGTGGAAAATAAAAATTAAAAGTGAGAAAGGGCAATAGTTTGGGATCATGGGTAGAAATCTTATTAAATTAACTACTCATCCCACTGGGGAAGAAAAAAAAAAAAAGGAAATTCAGTTAGTAAAGTTAATATTATTGATGTAATAGATTTTATTAAGGCACTTGAATTTGTGCCACATGATTAATTAGAGAGAACCAAACCCAAGGTGTCATATATAATAATTAACTCCTTTTATGGCATCTTTGTGCATAATGTCTTGTTTAATGTTGAGCTTCCATTGTGTTTTATATAAAGTATTTTGAAATCTGTTTTGAAATGAAAATCAAACTTCAAATCCAAACTGCATTCATAAGAAATAGGCAAATGACATCCGTATATGTCTGCTTTTACAATACATTGTTTGGTTGTCTTCTATAATATGCAGATACATAATGACACATAGTATTCCTATTTCTGAAAAAAAAAAAAAAAAAAAAAGGCTGTTGTTTCAGTTGGTGAAGCAGGAAGCATTATCTAAGTGGGTCAATATCTCCTATTATTGCTGTAATAAAGTAGATTGGTGTTTTGATATAAATAAAAGCTGTGGGATTTCTTTGTTGTTTTTGCCCTTAGCATGTATAGTATAGTTGTGATAATAGTATAGTCTCTTGTTATAGTATATTCTGATTTTTTCAATACACAGGCCTTGGTATTTTGCTGAATCAATCGCTGTTTGAACCCTATTTCTTTTTTGGGGAACTCTGGAAACTGGAAGTCAAAAATTCTGACTTGGAAAAAAAGTTACAGTTACTATCATCTAGCACAATTTAGGTTGCTGCAGAAGGTCAGTGCTGTGAGGAGCAGCATCCTTGGAACAACAGACCTTTGTGACACTCAGGTCAAATTTCCAGATTTATTCTCCAAGTGAACAGTTAATTTGCTGTGCAGGGCAACATCAGGATTCACCTCAAGGGAGGTGATCTTTCTATAAATCTTTCTAATTAGCTCTCTGGCTTTGTAATAACTACTACACTGATGGTTCTTTTCGAATCTGGAATTTCTTTATTTTAATAGGTCCATGGTGAGGATTGCACCCCGATTAAACATAAGATCAGATTAACTTTTAAATCATTAAAGTTATTTTGTCAATAA